CACGTCTTGGGTATCCAAATCATTGGTTCCAGTATTCAGATCACACTCTTTATGATCTTTAGAAAGTTTTTCAATTTTCTCTTCTACTTCATCGAAAGCACAAACAACTTTATCTAAAGTAGCATCAAGCTCTTCTGTCTTGTTTTCAACCTTAGCTACGCCTTGCCACATCTCTAAATTTTAGTCGTAGGTCTGGTTCTTGCTTTCATTCAGCTCCTTGTCCAAGTCATCGATCTTGAAGTTAGGGTTTGCAGCTCCCTTTCTTTTTGTCGAATGTTGAACTTGTTCTTATCCTGCTCTATTCTGACAGACTCCATACTCTGATCCAACACTTCATTGTCTTTGGTTCTCTGATCCTCCAATGTCTTCACGTTCTCAGAGAGGTCATCAAACCTCTTGTTAAGGTTGATGGTGATGGCATCTATCCTTGTTCGCAGGGCAGCTTCGATGAGGGCTTGGGAAGCAAGGAACTGATTCAGCTTAGCTTCCAATCGATTAAGCAGGATGTTAAGTAGATTGTTCTCATAGTTCTGGTGCAGAATCTGATGAGGTAAAGGATAAGATGGTCGACGGTTCACCAGGTGTGGCGAATAGGGCTCATCTCGGTGGTGTAGAGTTCGCAAGTCTCCATGGTAGTAGTTCGGATTAGGGTTCTGAACATGATGATCAGAATTACGCCTGGATGGTGATTCACATGCGCAAACTGGAGAAAGTTCTTCTTCTTTTATATATAAGATTTATTGTAAGAAAATTTCTATCTTTAAGTGACATATATGTCTATTAGATCAAGCTCATATTAAAGTTTAGAATTCTAACATAAAAGACGACACCATGATGGATCGGTTTCAATTAAAGACATTAGAATTCAGGTGTATTAATAACCCTCTTCCTTACTTTAAAATGTTGACAAGTCTTTCTTTAAGAATTATATGTATATATGAGAAATATGGTGTGTAGTAAGCTCTAACTTGGTGATCAAGATTTTGTAAAGACATGTGACTATCATGGAGGATTTTAGGGAAACTTTGTCTCCAAGCTAAAGTTAAAACTTGGAGACAGAGCTAAAGGCAATACTTTGTGAGCAAATTTTATTCTCCTATAAATAGATGCTTAAGCTTCATTCTAAAAGTGATCACCATAATAGAAAAGTTTACTACACATCCACATGAGAAAAGAAAGATAGAAAGAATTGATATCTTCTCCATCAAAAGAGATTCTAAAAGACAAGGGTTAAGGAAGAAGAAATCTTTGATCTCAAGCCTAATCAAAGCATGGATCAAGATTAGTATTTCTCCTTCTTCTATAACGTCTATTTGGTTGGATTATAATGAATCTAGTTTATCTTAGGATAAATTTCATAAACTGAATTCATAAAGGAATTTAATCTTACATTTATAATTGAAATGAACTATGAATCTTTCAAGACAAACAATTGCAAAAGGGAAAAATTTAAAGGTTTTGAAAGTTTGTCACCTTCATGTAGACAATCACTAAATAATACTTAGTTATTCTCTCAGTTTTTTAAAAATTGGAGGAATACTTGTGGTGTTGAATATAAAGTAGAAATGGTGATTTTAGAATATTTACGCAAGTTTGTGCAACAAAATATAGGTAGTTTTGTCATGTTCTTGAAAAGGAAATGAGTGAAGAGAAAATAATGATAGTTTTGTTTTGCGTGTACCTTTTTTTCACTCTAACATAAAATGGGAAAACGGCCATTAAAATACCCAACTATCCAATTTTCGCCAAAATAAGTGCATACTATTCACTGAACCAAAATAACACGAACTTATGTTGACCAGGCTAATTTAGATATGAGTAGTCAACCTTAATAATTGTGTAACTGATGTGATTAGTCGTTTACTTTAACATTTAATAAAACGACGTATCTATTATATAATAGGATAATTTTTTCTCTATTTAGGATATCCACATAAAAAAATTAAAATTAATGACTCAATTAATTCATACACTTTAAAATAGTATTATTTTCATTTTAAAATAAAAGAAAAACACTAATACTAAGTTAATGATTTCATTAATTCACTTATTGTTTATAATCATTATTTTTTTATCAAGAAGAAGTGGAACAAAAGTTGGAAAAAAAATAAGAAGAAATAGTTAAAGAAAAAAATGATGATGAAAATGAAACTTAAGACGATGAAAAAGAATAAGAAAAAAAGAAAGAAGACAAATTTAAAATTTAAAGAAAACATGTAGATGAAGATGAAATAGAAGATGAAGAATACATAAACGAGATAAGTAAAAATAAGAAAAACAAAATTAGAAAAAAAAGATGAAGAAAAACTAAAAAAAAAAGAAGTCGAAGAAGATGAAGATGAAAATGAAAAAAAAAGGAGAAAGAAGAAGAGGAAGAAGAACTCAAAACTGATGAAGAGGAATTTATAGAAAATACGAAGACAAAAATGTTAAAGATGAAAAAGGAGATCGAAAATGAAAATAATATACTATGTTAATTTGATGATGGAGAAAAAATCTAATAAAATCAAGAAAATAAGAAAAAGAATATGATGAATTAGCTGTTTAAACAAAATATGATGAAAGTCTAAACCTACAAAATTTAATATTAATATATATTTAAAATATGCATTTAATACATTTATATTTACATTTATATTTAATATATTTAGTATTAATAAATAAAATAAAAGAAATTTTAGTATAAATATGCAGAAAAAATAAAAAATTAAAATAACAAACTATGAGAATATGAAGATGAAGAGAGAAAAATTTGTTGTTATATAGAAACACTATCAAAATAACTAATAGAATACAGACATTGTTAACACAATACAAACTATAAAAATTATTATTAAACAAAGAAAAGAAATTTATCAAACAAACTCTTTTTAAGAAATAGCATATAAAAACATGAACATATGTTCAAATCTGAGTGAAGCGCAAACTCAACCCTAGTTTTCTAAATTAGAAAACCTGAACTTTAAAAAACCAAAATCCCCAAATCGAGATTTCAAGTCTCTAATTTCCTATCATTCACAGCTGCAACGTCTTCTCCATTTTTTAAGAATCAGTTTATGCAATAAACTTGATTTCTTTAGTTGTCTTCATTTTCATGAGTTACAGAGTATTAATAATTGTAGAGAAAAGTTATATATCGCAGATAAAACAAAGTACTAATTGCAGAGAAGATTAAGTAGTAATTGCAGGGAATAGTAACTGAAGAAGAAAAAAATATCAGAGAAAAGAGAGTTGTTGGACAAGTGTTTTCTCTTCTAATAATCTTTGCTCCTCCATTGTTGTCATATACAGTCTGAATGAAGAAGTTGCCGACTCTACCAGAAGATGGTTCACGTCATCACCACCATTGCCGTCATTTACATCATTTCCAGAATTGTCATCAGCTATAGCCACACAATCATCTTCTGGAGCCTTAGGAGTTCCTCCACCACACTCATCTTCGATAACACTTTTTGTTTTGCTTCGACGTGGAGTGATTTTTTTTTCCTTCTAGACATGACGATTTAAAGGGTTTCAAGGATAATCGATGATGGTGATGATGATTTTAAGGATAATCGACAATGGAGATTAAAATTTGAAGAGAAGAAGTTGTGACTGAGAAGTATAGAGAATTACTCTCTCTGTTTCACAAAGAGTGTCATTTTGACATTTTTCACACATATTAAGAAAATTATTAAAAGTATAATTTTGTCCCTTATTAATACATTAAATAATTTGTTTTTATCTAATAAATACATTAAATTAATAGGGTTAAAACTGGAATATTGTTTAAAATTTTGCATTGAAAATATAAAACAACACTCTTTGTGAAACAAAAATAAAACCTTAAAACGACACTCTTTGTAAAACGAAGGGAGTATGATTTTTGTTTTAATGTTTAGGTTTTCTAATTTATGAGACACTTCGTTTTATTAAACGGCTCCAGGTACACAATTATTAAGGTTGACTAATTTTGTAACTAAATTGACCCGGTCAACATAAATTTGTATTTATTTTGGCTCAATAAAGAGTTTGAACTTATCTTGGTAAAAGTTAGATAGTTGGGTTGATTGACTGGCAGTTTTTATACATATATGTGCACATGTTAAGTTGAGAGCAAGTTTAAGTGATGTTGATGTGTCAGGCTAAGCTCAAAAAAAAATATATATATATATATATATATAACTTTGAATGACTCTCTAAGTTGTGTAAGTCATTAAAAAATATCTTTCAACAAATTGAGTCTTACTTACAAGATATTACGGAAGCTTGATTTATTTGGTTTTGTTTTATTATTTCAAATGGCTACTCTAAAATTTTATATCTAATTTTACGATGGTTAATTATTACAATAAATCACTTATTATCTTTACTATGAGAGAATCTTTACATCATGCAGTATTTAGTTTAGTTTTATAAATAACTAGGTGAATACTTGTGCATATGCGCGATATTTTTTTAATATTTGTTTTAAATATTTGCAAAATCATCTAAACTTTATTATTTAAGTCACATTATCATCATTCTCCAAAAAGTTGCTATCCCATGTAATTAGTTTTGGTTTATTCTCATGAAATTGCTTATGTGATGGACTTTTGATATCTGGATTTGCCAATTTTAGAACGTACAAGAAAACTTTAATGAATATAAATTTATAGTCACAACCATAAATCAATAGTTATAGATTGCAGTTAGAGTGAAGAAAGGACATTGTTTTTGGCTAATGAGGTGACATTGTGAGAATTCGTTTGTTGGAGTTTGATATGAATTCAAAATTGTGACTGCATACAATGAGTATTGATCAAATATTTAGCCAAGTCAAAACTGTGTTACTTTTGTGGAGTTTGATATGAATTCAAAATTGTAAATATTCCGGATGTAATTCAATTAAAAAAAACATTGATCAATCTTTAGGCAAGTCAATGAGGTTTTTTTTCTTTTTTCTATTATATAAATATATAGTACAACTTAAATATGCACATTACACACCAAGTAACCATGCAAATACACAACCAAATAGGTATTGTAAGCAAAATTGTGAAGAATCACAAAACAGCTGTCAACCATACACAACATTCATTTCCGAAGAAGGCAATACAGGATAAAAGACTGCCGTCTTACTTGCAACGTTTTCGACTTCCATGTATTAAGATCTCGGGGTCGTTCCATGAACCTTTGTCTGAATGCATAGATTCATCTTTATCTGCGCAGCAGGGCCGGCATTTAGCACGTGTGACATGATATACATCACAGAGTCCAATATGATTTGAGGTTTATTATAGTTTTTTAAAACATTTGTTTTTAAAAAAAATTATGAAAAAAATATAAACAAATTTTAAGTACAACATGTAATGTCAAGTGTATAATAGAAGGTTTTTACAGAAACTTTTTTTATCATAATTAATTTTATTCTCATTGTTTATAAATGGTTTATAACGTATATATTTAGTTTTTGATAATTCTTTTCATATATTTTTGATGGTTAAAGTGTTTAATATTAAATTATTAAATTAATTATTCAAGTGATTGTTTACTCACTTCTCACTTATATATATGATAAATATTTTTATTAGTTTACCATATAAATATTTTAAAAATTACATATTATAAAGTCTATTATAAATTAGCAGCACAGGGTCTCAAATTTTTTCGAACCGGCACTGCTGCGCAGGTACAAGTACCACCCACAAAGGCAGTTCACTAAACAAACAATGAGAAGAGAGTCTTTAGATGCTTATCTGAAGATAAAACAACAGTTCCAAAGTCACATGTAAAGAGTTATCAAGTTAGCACTTGGCGTGAATGATTTCTAGCAGTTTGCTTTGGTATTGGTTGCCAAGAACCTGCCATTAATGAACAGAAGCAGAGGTTTTTTACTAACTAACCGAGACTGCTATAGACTATAGTCTTTCAAGTGGAAAAAGAAGTAAAGTTTGGATCTTGAAATGAAAGGAAAGCTTAATTACCTGAATCTTAGCTGTGGTCTTTGGGTCAAGAAAAGACTATACCATTTCCTTTAGATGACGGATCGTAAATGGACTTCGGTACCAGTGATACTGAGTATTAGTGTCAGTAAAAAAATTTGTGATTGGAAAGGCCTTACTGAAAGGGGCTTTTTTTCTCCCAAAAACCGTCTCGACAGACATTCCATCCTCGTGGCTCACCGGCTGACAACATTGTAGTTCAGTGAAAGAAGGGGAATTCGATTTACGTATCTATTAAGGTAAATAGTAAGAAACATAGAGGAATAGACATAACGAAACTTTTTAGACGAGAGTAAATTCAGCCTGTTATTAGTGACTCTTCCTGAGATATTAATGAGTAATGGGGCAGTTATTACCATTGACTCTTCACGTCCTTCACCAAACCGTAACGCCATATCACACAAAGCTTGTCTTGTAGATTCTACATTCATTGGCTCACCATACGAGAAGCTGTGGTTCTAGGCTACAGAGAAACAAAAAATAGTTGGTAACATATTGATGTAAGAAAGGAACCACGAGAAGCAAAAACTGAGATGTCACTTGAGTCTTCACTCGTGCGTGCTTCAGCAATCAGATAACTCATTGGACAACCTATATGGTCATCAATTGCCATTGTCTTCTCCATACTGCTCCGCTTCTGAAGATTAAAAGAGAGACTGACAAAGTAGTGTGTGACTATTATTATTGGTAAACTTAAAATGATTTTACTTTTGTTTTATACCTTTATGACTCATGCCTCACCAAGATTAAGTTTCTGATGCAAATAGAACCCAATAAAGACAGATAAAAACAAAAAATTACATCTAAGATGCTTACAATGGAAAGTTGAATGAATCGGAATCAACCAGTTGGATTTTGCTGAACATAGCAAGACTGTTAATACAAAGACGAGGCGCAAAGGGATACGCTTCTCGGACTTCAGAACAACTCCTCAGTATAACCAAGCTGCAACAATTTGAAAGCCTTGAGAATCAATGGATACACAAGTGCACACACCCAATCTACGCATATACCAACATAGCACATTACTAAATTAATTAAAAAAGAACATATCTTTGATTCTCGCTCTTTGTCAACACAGGAAAACCCCGTTTCCCCCAATATTCTGGAAGCCGCTATTTTCTAGGGAAGCGATATACTGTAGTAGCTAGAGTATACGAGAAATTACCTTGATAGATTCATTGGCAATACTCAATGTGAAATAGACATGTGTCATACACTAATACTCAGTCCCTAAGAACAAAAATACCCGAGAATGATCTATGTTATCGATTCGACTCGATTTGTTCGATCCAATCTACTTCGATCTTAGCTCACTCTCTCTCTCTCGATTCGCTGGTTTTAGCTTGTGGAAGGAAAACTAACAACACACGCACGTATAGAGTTCCCCGAAACCTGGGTACATCTCTCTTCAGGAACAGCACCTGGAAATCCACTATACGAGCTTCGAGTTACAGAGAGATTTCTCGTTCTAAGATTACAGATCAAGGAGAGAGACAAACTAACTAAATATAGACGTTAGAGTTTGTTAAAGCTTATCCTTTCTCCAAAACGACCTGATCGCTTGCCTTTGGGCCACACCGTTTCACCTTGGCCCAATACTCTCTGTTGGACTCATAACCAGCTCAACCGTTCTTAATTTAGCTGGACCAAAGTATTAAACCGAGAACCAATTTCTCACAAATCTCCTCCTTGGTTTCGATTTCTTTCAGTTCCAGCTAAAAGAAACTTTGAAGATCTCCATTCCTGATGTGCTTCTCAAACACCGATCAAAGCACATTGCAGATTTCAACTTATGAACTCTGACTCCCTTCACTTCCTGATCACCAGAAGCAAACATAATGCGATTCCTTAAACCCGGAATCCCTCAAACCAACACCTGATTTGAGGCATTAACGTCATCACCTGATCAACAGCAATGACGTTTCACCACCAACTTAGGCAGTGATCTTTAAAGTCTCCAGGCACCTGTTAAACGCATTCCCTGATAGAACTTTGGTTAACATATCCGCTGGATTCTTTGTAGTATGAATCTTCAATACTGACACATCTACTTGCACTATAACATCTCTGATGAAATGATACTTAGTAGCCACATGCTTCGTTCTTTCACTAAACATGTTGTTCTTTGCCAAACAGATCGCACTTTGCGAGTCACAATGAACTTCTGCTGCTCCCTGTTCATAACCCATTTCTTCACATATACCTTTAAGCCAAAGTGCCTCTTTCACAGCTTCAGATAAAGACATGTACTCAGCCTCCGTTGTGGATAAAGCAACCACCTTCTGTAGACAAGATCTCCAGCTCACCGTATTACCTCCAACAGTGAAAACGTAACCAGAGATAGATCTTCGCCTGTCCAGATCCGCTGCATAGTCTGAGTCGCAATAACCCTTTACCTTAAACTCCTCTTCTTTGTTGAACGTTAGGCAGACTTTAGCAGCTCCCTTAATATATCTCATAATCCATTGAACTGCAAGCCAATGTGTTCTCCCAGGGTTCCCCATGTACCTGCTTACCAACCCCACTGAGTAAGCTAAGTCTGGTCTAGAACCCACCATTGCATACATCAAGCTACCAACAGCACTCGCATACGGAACTTTGTCCATCGTTCCAGCTTGATCTGCAGCCTCTTTCTCTGTAAGACTCTGCAACTTAAACTGTGAACCCATAGGTGTAGTGACTGACCTGCACTCCCACATGCCAAACGTCTTGAGAAACTTATTCAAATACTCCTCCTGAGACAAAACCAGTATACCTTTCTCTCTATCCCTGAAGATGTCCATCCCCAAGATTCTCCTTGCAGGCCCGAGATCTTTCATCTCGAATTCTTTGTTGAGGAGAGTCTTGAGCGAGGTGACTGCAGAGACGTCCTTTGAAGCAATCAACATATCGTCGACATACAGAAGAAGATAAACCATGTCCTCTGCTGTCTTTCCTTTCAGATACACACACGAATCATACTGACTTTTCTTATACCGATTTCTAACCATGAATGTATCAAACCTGAAATTCCACTCCCTTGGTGACTGCTTTAAACCGTAGAGAGACTTTCTTAGTAGGCAAACCTTGTTTTCATTGCCCTTCTTGATGTACCCTTCTGGTTGACTCATATATATTCTCTCCTGCAATACTCCATGCAAGAATGCTGTTTTCACATCAAGTTGCTCAAGTTCCATGTCTTGATTAACCACCAAAGATAAAATCAGTCTGATGGATACATGTTTAACCACAGGGGCAAAAACCTCATTGTAATCTATGCCCTCAACTTGAGCATAACCTTTAGCTACCAGCCTAGCTTTATACCTAGGTTTCTCAACTCCTGGTATACCTGGCTTTAGCTTGTAAACCCACTTACAGCCTATGACTCTTTGCTTCTTGGGTTTGTCTGTTAGGTCCCATGTATGGTTTCTCTCTAAAGAGTCCATTTCCTCATCCATCGCTGAATTCCACAGCTCCCTTTCTTCGCTGCTCATTGCTTCCTGATATGTCTTAGGCTCGTCCAGATTAATAACCTCCGACGTGGCCAAGGCATATGCTACAAAATCAGCATCTTCATACTTGGATGGTGGTCTTATTACTCTTCTCTCACGATCTCTAGCCAACAGATAGTGGTCTAAGTCACCTCCAGTAGAAGTAACATCGTCTGCTTCATCAGATGAGCTAGACTCTTCATCTTTGTCAGATTCTGTTGCAATGTGCTCAGAATCAACTTCTCCTAGATGTGAGTCCTCCTCGCTCAACTCATTTCTAGAGTTCTGGGACCTATCGATGGTATTTAACAGTGGAACTCCGATGACACGCCTTGAGTCAGATGCAGAGTGACTTAGAGTGTCAGCATTCCGGTCTTTGAATAGCTTTTCTTCATGGAAGATAACGTCTTTACTGATAACGACTTTTCGTTCTTCCAACAACCAAATTCTATATCCCTTGGTGCCCTGAGCATAGCCTACAAAGATACCCTTTAAAGCTCTCGGACTTATCTTGTCCTGAATGGCGTGCACATAAGCCATACATCCAAAACACCTCAAATGACTATAATCCGGCTTACTTCCTGTCCACAGTGTCTCGGGTACCTCAAAGTCTATTGATGCAGCTGGTGATCTGTTTATTATATATACCGCAGTGGATGCCGCCTCTGCCCAGAATTCACCTTTCAAACCTGTCTCAGAGAGCATGCTTCTTACACGATCCATAATGGTCCTGTTCATCCTCTCGGAAACTCCGTTCTGCTGTGGAGTGTATGGACACGTTTTGTGTCTTTTAACCCCTGTGTCTCGGCACAAATCATCGAACTGTTTGTTGCAAAACTCGAGCCCGTTATCAGTTCTCAGACACTTAAGCTTCTTCCCCGTCTGATTCTCAACTAGAATCTTCCAATCTGCAAACTTCTGGAAAGCTTCACTTTTCAACTTTAGAAAGTAAATCCATACTTTCTTTGAGAAGTCATCAATAAATGTCAAGAAGTACTGATTTCCTGATAAACTTGGTGTAACCGTAGAAGAACCCCAGAGATCAGAGTGAACATAGTCGAGAACTTCTTTAGTGGTGTGTCTTGCCTTTTGGAAGCTTTGTTTATGTGACTTTCCTAGCGCACAAGCTTCGCAGAATCCCAGCTTTGAAACTTCTTCTTTCTTTAGATACCCTTTTCTGACTAGAGCATCCATTGAAAATTGTCCCATATGAGCGAGTCTTGAGTGCCATTTTCTTGTCACTTCATCACCTCCACTTACCACGTTCGCCTCTGGTATTAAGACTCTTCCTTTTAGATAATACAAGCCTTGCTCATATTTTCCAGATAACACCTTTTTCTGTCCTTTGAAGAAGACAACCTCAAAGTCCCCACCAGTGTACTTACAGCCTGACTGCTCAAGCTGACCGTAGGATATTAAGTTCCTACCCATATCTGGTATATACCTGACATTGCTGAGAGTAACTATAGAGCCATCAGGGTTCTCAATAGTTATCTTTCCTCTGCCTTTAACCAAACAATGCGTATTATTACCCATAAGCACTTTGGTCTCTTCACACCTCACAAAGTCAGATAACAGTTCTTTCCTCGGTGTAATATGAAAGGTACATCCAGAGTCAAGTACCCACTCATCACTTGGACCTTGAACGCTGGCCGTTAAAGCTATTGCTTCTGGTAGTTTCGATGCTATATTCACTGTAGTAGTATCCTTATTCCTCTTAGGACAGTCCTTCTTCCAGTGATTTTCATCTCCACAAATCCAACATGCCTTTGGCCCAAACTTGTTCTTGTCCTTAGACTTCTCTTTGCCTTTTCCCTTTGACTGCTTACCATTGCCCTTGCTTTCCTTTTTCTTCTTTGACTCGACATAGAGCCCCTCAGCATTCCCTTTTGGTTTTGAAAGCATACCCTTCTGCTTCAATTCTGCCTCCTTAGCGAATGCCGATGTGATTACTTCCTTTACCGTCAAAGAGTCCTTGCCTGTCCCATACTTTAGAGTGTGAACAAGATGTTCATACGCAGAAGGAAGGCTGGTAAGAAGTTGTATCGCCTGATCCTAATCACTAATCGTAATCTGTAGACTGGCAAGATCCTGTATGAGCTTTAAGAACTTGTCCACGTTATCTTCCATGGACTTATTACCTTCCATCTTGAAGCTTGCAAACGCTTGTTTGAGATAAATCCGGTTTGGGAGCGACTTAGTCTGATAATCTGCTTCCAAGGCTTTCCACATGTCCAATGCCGTTGGCTCGAACATAATCTTCCTCAAGATCTGATCAGACACACAAGTTCCCAAAAGATTTCTTACCCTCAAATCCTTTTCAGCTGCCTTCGGATCATCCTTTTGATCAACTACAGATCCCTTCTCATCGGTGACTGGCTAACTTTGTCTTCTCTTGTAAAACTGATCCCAAACCCTGGATCTCGAGTTGTCTCAACATCCTGTACTTCCATATTCCAAAATCCCCTTTGCCATCGAATTTCTCCATCTCGAACTTTCCTGGAGTTGGCTCCATGACTGATTATCCTTGATCTAACCTTTCGCTGTTAAGAAACAAGACAGAGTAACCAGATCTAAGTAACAATCAACAAAGAGTGTCAAGAAACACACGAGACCGCTAATCTAACACAATCTTCCCTACACAGGTTAAGTCTATGATAGATTCCTGATATTCGATGTAGCTTTATTGAACTAACAGATGGAATAGAAAGAAGATTTAGGAAACTCCCTGAGTCTTCAGATTTCGGGATCCGATCGAAGAAACTTTCCGATCCCTTCGCTTCAAGAATCCTTTCGAAGCCTTTGATCTTCGTCTTCTTCGATCCGAGCTAGATCGAATCCTTGAGCACCTTCCTTGAACCTGGATTCGCTCTGATACCACTTGTTATCGATTCGACTCGATTTGTTCGATCCAATCTACTTCGATCTTAGCTCACTCTCTCTCTCTCGATTCGCTGGTTTTAGCTTGTGGAAGGAAAACTAACAACACACGCACGTATAGAGTTCCCCGAAACCTGGGTACATCTCTCTTCAGGAACAGCACCTGGAAATCCACTATACGAGCTTCGAGTTACAGAGAGATTTCTCGTTCTAAGATTACAGATCAAGGAGAGAGACAAACTAACTAAATATAGACGTTAGAGTTTGTTAAAGCTTATCCTTTCTCCAAAACGACCTGATCGCTTGCCTTTGGGCCACACCGTTTCACCTTGGCCCAATACTCTCTGTTGGACTCATAACCAGCTCAACCGTTCTTAATTTAGCTGGACCAAAGTATTAAACCGAGAACCAATTTCTCACAATCTATATAAGCACCATAATCGTTGCATTTGTTGTGAACCCAAAAACGATGTTACAAGATTTCGTTTAAATGGATTATGAATGCCTAGAACACTTTACCAGCACAATCTCCTTCTTGAGTCTAAAGCCGCTGACCTTGCTTGTGGCTTCCATGGAAGAGAGGCGAAGCTGAGAAGACCCAATCTCCCACTCATTTGTATCAATA